CTCAACGCGCTCTACGCCCGCTCAGGCGGCGCCGTCCGTGCAGGGTCACGCGTTCAGGGCTTCTATTCCAGCTTGCGGGTTTCCAGCGTTTTCACACACTGACACTGTGCCTCCAGTTTCAAAGTTGTGGAGGGAAAGAGAGAGAGAGAGAGAGAGAGAGACAGAGAGAGAGAGAGAGCGAGAGAGATAGAGAGAGAGAGACAGAGGGAGAGGGAGAGGGAGAGAGAGAGAGAGAGAGAGAGAGACAGAGAGGGAGAGAGAGAGAGAGGAAAATTCCCATGCCTGCTGGGCTGGAGCCCGGGTATCACCGATGATAAAGTCGGAGAGATGAAAAGGCAATAGTGTTTCAGGGAACAACTGCTACAGGGCCAAATGGAAAGATGTGGTTGGCGCGCCGCAATCAACAGTGAAATTGCCGAAGCGCTTGAGTGTTCCTCATTGATCCAATCAAAGGGGAGAACTTGTACAGAACTGTCATTAAGGATGGCGAACAAATTCCAATTGATGCCTTCATCTGATAGACGCACAAGCAGGGATTGACGGCAGGAACTTTAGAGCCCGCCCGCGTGTTCTGTCGTCCTCTCTCCCTCCTCTCCCCCTCTTCTCAATCTCCCTGTCTCTCTCTCTCTCTCTCTCTCTCTCTCTCTCTCTCTCTCTCTCTCTCTCTCTCTCTCTCTCTCTGGTGCATTCCGCACACATATCTATGCAAATATATTCAGGTTGTGCATGCGCTAGAGTTTTGGCTCACAAGCCGTTAGGGGCACCATCCAGAGTCGCAGGAGCATCCGCTTCGCCTGACAGATGGCGCCCGGCGCCCGTGCAAACAACTGCCCGCAAGCCTCTGGTATGGCGGCCCCAGCATGCAGAAGCACATCATTGCAACGCTGAGCAATGTTGCAGCACACATTGTATCTGTCCGCCTATCGATCAGCGTCACATTTACGGAGCAAATTGTTGCGGAGGACCTGGAGCGGCAGGCTGAAGAGGTCGCGCGCAGCCGAGAAGTTGACGAATTATTCCATTCAATCAACCTGCAGTGAACGATTGCGTTGACACACGTGCACTCATTCAAGGCTGCACATTGTGCCAGATTTGGCAAAGCGTAGACAAATCCTCCATTGGCTGCTTTGCAAGGAGCCTGCGGTGTGCTCAACAGATGCCAACCAGATGACCAACCATCGCATCTCGAAACATCTCGAAACCTTCGCTGCAGGCAGTGGCCAACATTCCTCAATCCTGCGCGGAGTGGCCTGGAAGACAATTCGACTTTGGGGAGAAAATTAAGGAGTTGCCGCCTGGAACCCTTTTTGATGGGGTTTCACGAAGCATTGCTTGAGGCAGTGGCCCAGCCATCAACATTACGGCTTGCATTTTTTTGCCGGAGGCAGCGCTGCTTAACTTGGGCTTGCGCGAAGCGCCGCTGGCTGCCATGCAAGGTGCCGATGTTGCTCTCAAGAGATACCAACCAGAAGGCCAACCGTCGCGTCTCGAAACCTGGTACCAACCAGATGACCAAACATCACGTCTGAGGCAGTGGCCCAGCCACCAACATTGCGGCTTGCAAGCCTTCGCTGGCGACAGTGGTCCAGCCGCCCGAATTGGGCTTGCACGACTCGCCATTGGCTGCCGTGCAAGGCGCGTGCTCAACAGACACCAACCAGAGGACCAACCATCGCCTCTCGAAACATTGCTACATTGCTTGAGGCATCGCCACCAACATTACGGCTTGCAAGCCTTTGCGCCTTTGCTGGAGGTGGCCCAGCCACCATTGGCTAACACTCGAGCCGTCGCTGCAGGAAGTGGCCCAGCCACCAACTTTGAAGCTTGCAATTGCCATGCAAGGCGCCTGCGGTGCTCCCAGCCGACACCAACCAGCTATTGCTACACCAGCAAGCGCCGCCCAGAATCCGCGTATTCAGTCATTGTCGCCCCATCCCACTGCCCCAACTTGAAGTGATAAGACAGAATGAGGCTTCGAGCCCAAGAGCAAACCCGCAGCATGCAGGTGCGAGCCAGACACTTTATGTCGACGCAGAGCTGTGCGTTCAGCTCTGAAGGCTGACCTTGGTTGCGATCAGTTTGCGTAGTGGCGCTGAACATTGTTGGCGATTCGCCTGGCAAGTCTTTCTCCTGGGGGGCTCTTGGCTGCCATGAAACTTGGCTGACAAAGAAGCAAGAGCTCGTCTGGCTGCGCCAGCCAGTTCACCAATAGGCCACAGGGCTTCAGCCTTGAACCATGTCGGAGACGCCAGTCTAAGATTTCAACACCGAACTCAGCCCGGCTCGCTGGATGCTGCCTGACTTTCGGTCGCTTCCGAGTCACGAATATTGTGCACTGTTCATTGTGGGCGGTCCAGATCCTGCCCAGGGTTTGGGTTTCCAAAATCCAGAAGAAACAGTGGCAATCTGGTCGTTGCTTGCCCATGCACATGCTGGCCAGGGTTTGTTTCTTCCATATTGGCCCCGAAGTTAGCGCAGGTAGGTCTGGCAAGTCTGATGAGTTGAGTGCTTCTGGAGACATAGACTTTAGCATCCTGGCAGGCAGTTTTCCTCGGACAGGTCATTGGGACATTGCGCTGTTTTGAGAAGAACGCTGCGGCGCAAGTGCCGTCGGCGCTGCGTGCGCAAACGTTGCGCCTCATGCTTCGGCACGAGCGCTGGTGGGATGTGTTTTGGAATGCTGGCAGAGGCATTGCCAGGTGCCTCGCAAGTCTTGCGCAAGTGCGCTCCACCCATAGCATGATAACGCCTCTTCAGCATTGCAGCAAGGGCCCACTGTTGTTTATAATTTGGCCCTGGCCGAAGTGAAGACGTACAGAGCACCCAGGAAGGCCGCAAGGCGATCTCCAGAACGGAGGCCCTGCGAAGCAGCAAGCAGGACGTCGTGTTGCGCCAAGGCCAAGACCTCTTGAAACCTTCTCTGGAGGCAGTGGCCCAGCCACTGAAAATTGGCTTGCGCGAACTGGCGTTGCCGCCAACATTGAAGCTTGCCAGTGCCACGCAAGGCGCCTGCGGTGCTCTCCCAGTTGCAGTGGAAGCACCATTGGCTGCCACGCAAGGCGCGTGCTCAACAGATGCCAACCAGAAGAAACACCATCGCGTCTCGAAGCCTTCGCTGGAGGCCCAGCCAGCATTGGATGATACCAACCAGATGACCAACCCTCGTGTTACCTAGACGCCTAGACCTTGTGCTCCTTTTTTTCTGCCTTGTTCACGAAAGCCGCGAGCCAGGTTTGCCGCAACACAATGAACGGGCACTTTTGGCGCCGAGTGGCGCTTTTGCAAAAGAGCAGCAAAACCGTGCAGCTGGAAGGTCTAGGTACCAACCAGATAGCCTACTATCGCGTCTCAAAACATTGCTTTACGGCTTGCAATCTTGAGAGAGACCAAGCAGAAGGCCAACCATCACGTCTCAAAACCAGATACCAGCCAGATGACCAAGCATCACGCCTGAGGCAGTGGCCCAGCCACTTGAATTGGGCTTGCGCGACGTGCCGTTGGCTGCCAGCCCCAAAGTGATGGTTTGCGCTCTGTTTCGCGATTCGATTATGCCGATGTTTCTCACACTGTGACTGGCGAACTGTAAATGATATCGACCTGCGCTGTTTCTGGCGGGCGCCGACCATAGCACGTAGTTGCTAGCTCCTGCCACGCAAGGCATGGCTGCGGCGCTCTCAACCAAGCTGCGACATCACGGACCGATGTCACGAACGAACAACGAGGTGAGGCAGAGGCTGACAGGGACTTGTCAGCTTTCGTGCAATTGAAGCCTTAGGCACAAAATCTGGGCATGCACATTTTCGTCGTTTCAGCGGCCACATTCCTTACATACCCGGCGCCTTTCTGTGTAGTTTGCGTGATTGCATGCCCTTTCAACATGTGGAGGGTGCAATTCCTGTGAGTGTTGGGGACGTCCTCGCGGTTTTATATGGGTCACAGGCGTGGAGGCGTGGACATTCCATGCGCCGGGCAGCGTGTCAGCTGTTGCGCCGCCCAGAATCCGCCTATTCAGTGATTGTCAGCCCACACTGCCCCAACTTGAAGTGATGCATTTGAAAGACAGAACGTGGCCCTGACGCTGAACATTGTTGGCGATCCGCCTGGCAAGTCTTTCTCCTGGGGGGCTCTTGGCTGCCATGAAGCTTGGCTGGAGCTTGCTCACAAAGAAGCAAGAGCTCGTCTGGCTGCACCAGCCAGTTCACCAAGATTTCAACACCGAACTCAGCCCGGCTCACTGGATGCTGCCTGGCTTCCAAGTCGCTTGAGTGCGCCCATGCACATCCAGGGTTTGTTTCTTCCATATTGGTTGTGCAGGTAGGTCTGGCAAGTCTGATGAGTTGAATGCTTCTGGAGACATAGACTTCAGCATCCTGGCAGGCAGTTTTCCTCCGACAGGTTAGTGGAACGTTGTGCCGTTTTGAGAACAATGCTGCGGCGCAGGTGCCGTCGGAAATGCGCGCGCAAACGTTGCACCTCATGCTTCGGCGCGAGCGCTGGTGGGATGTGTTTTGGAATGCTGGCAGAGGCATTGCCAAGGTGCCTCGCAAGTCTTGCGCAAGTGCGCTGCGCCGTTGGAGACACGCCAGAGCACTTTCCGAGACTTTGGCTGAGCTTGAAGTGCAGGCCAGACGCTGGTAGAGACCCATGAGTATCCCAAGCGCGTTGCAGGGAATTGGTCTTGCGTGCTCGCAGCATCCAAGACGTGTTGCCCGCGAGCAACGACAGCTCTGGTAGAGATTTGAGAGGCTGGCAAGGTATTGCCGTCCTCGAGTTAGTCTTCCGTATGACGGCCCCAAGATCCGGAATGCAGATTTGTGCTGTAGTGAAAGGCCGCGTATCGATCGACGTGACGTTGGTGGAACAACATGTTGCGCAGGACGGGGAGCGACAGACTGAAGAGGTTGTGCGCAGTTGGGAACTTGACGAATGCTTCCATTGAACCGCTCCACACTGAACGAATGAGGTGACATACGCACATCCACTCAAGAGGGCGATGTGGAATGCACATTGTGCCTCATTTTGCAAAGAACTGGGAACCGCAGATAACGTCTCTTCAACATTGCGGCAAGGGCCCACTGCCAAGACGAAGAATTCTTGAAACCTTCCCTGGAGGCAGTGGCCCAGCCACTGAAATTTGGCTTGCGCGAACGTTGCCACCAACATTGAAGCTTGCCAGTGCCACGCAAGGCGCCTGCGGTGCTCTCCCGGTTGCAGTGGAAGCACCATTGGCTGCCACGCAAGGCGCGTGCTCAACAGATGCCAACCAGAAGAAACACCATCGCGTCTCGAAGCCTTCGCTGGAGGCCCAGCCAGCGTTGGATGATACCAACCAGATGACCAACCGTCGTGTTACCTAGACGCCTAGACCTTGTGCTCCTTTTTTTCTGCCTTGTTCACGAAAGCCGTCAGCCAGGTTTGCCGCAACACAATGAACGGGCACTTTTGGCGCCGAGTGGCGCTTTTGCAAAAGAGCAGCAAAACCGTGCAGCTGGAAGGTCTAGGTACCAACCAGATGGCCTACTATCGCGTCTCAAAACATTGCTTCACGGCTTGCAAACTTTCGCTGGAGGCAGAACGCCAAAATTCGGCTTGTGCGCAGTGCCATTGGCTCCCTTGCAAGGTGCCGATGTTGCTCTTGAGAGACACCAAGTAGAAGGCCAATCATCGCGTCTCAAAACCTGATACCAGCCAGATGACCAAGCATCACGCCTGAGGCAGTGGCCCAGCCACCAACATTACGGCTTGCAAGCCTTCGCTGGAGACAGTGGCCCAGCCACCCGAATTGGGCTTGCGCGACATGCCCCCCAAAGTGATGGTCCGCGCTCTGTTTCGCGATTCGATCATGCCGATGTTTCTCACAATGTGACTGGTGAACTGTAAATGATATCGACCTGCGCTGTTTCTGGCGGGCGCCGACCATAGCACGCAGTTGCTAGCTCCTGCCACGCAAGGCATGGCTGCGGCGCTCTCAACAAAGCTGCGACATCACGGACCGGTGTCACGAACGAACAACGAGGTGACATTGATTTCGGCATACGAGCCCAGAGTCAAGTTGCAACAGCGACCCAACATCCTACCCTCAGTTGCAAGCTTCTCACAGTGCGTTTGTCACGCCGACGTTTCTCTCATGTGACTGGGCCTGAAGCTGTCCCAACCATTGAACACTTACTTGCTCCACTGTGCGGAATGCGGTGAGCGCGCTTCAATCACGCCGCATATCAACTTCGGAGCGCTCCTGTAGCGCTTCGTGATGCGTCAATGCCAGAAGTGAGGCAGAGGCTGACAGGGACTTGTCAGCTTTCGTGCAATTGAAGGCGCATGCACATTTTCGTCGTTTCAGCGGCCGCATTCCTTACATACCCGGTGCCTTTCTCTTTTTGTGTAGTTTGCGTGATTGCATGCCCTTTCAACATGTGGAGGGGGCGGCCGTGGCGCCGTGTAATTCCTGTGAGTGTTGGGGACGTCCTCGCGGTTTTCTACGGGCCACAGGTGTGGAGGTGTGGACATTCCATGCGCCAGGCAGCGTGTCAGCTATTGCTTGCAAGCGCCGCCCAGAATCCGCCTATTCAGTCATTGTCGGCCAATCCCACTGCCCCAACTTGAAGTGATGCATTTGAAAGGCAGAATGAGGCCCTGAGCCCAGGAGCAAACCCACAGACACTTGCTGAGCTGTGCATTCAGGTCTGAAGGCTGACCTTGGTTGCAATCAGTTGGCGTTGTGGCGCTGAACATTGTTGGCAATCCGCCCGACCAATAGGCCACACGGATTCAGCTTTCAGCCATGTCGCAAGCGCCAGTCTAAGATTTCAACACCGAACTCAGCCCGGCTCACTAAATCCTGTCTGACTCTCGGTCGCTTCTGAGTCACGAATATGTGTGCGCTGTTCATTGTGGCTGCCCAGGCCTTGCGTTCCCAAAATCCAGAAGAAGCAAAAGCAATCTAGTCGATGCTTGAGTGTGGAGGCTCCTGCGCCCATGCACATGCTGGCCAGGGTGTGTTTCTTCCATATTGGCCCCGAAGTTTGCACAGGTAGGTCTGGCAAGTCGAATGAGTTGAATGCTTCCGGAGACATGGACTTTAGCATCCTGGCAGGCAGTTTTCCTCGGACAGGTCACTGGGACATTGTGCCGTTTTGAGAACAGTGCTGTGGCAGTTGCCGTCGCAAACGCGCGCGCGCAAATGTTGCACCTCATGCTTTGGCGCGAGCGCCGATTGCCAAGGTGCCTCGCAAGTCTTCCGCGAGTGCGCTGCGCCCATAGCATGTTGGAGACACGCCAGAGCACTTTCCGAGACTTTGGCTGAGCTTTAAAGTGCAGGCCAGACGCTGGTAGAGCTCCAAGCAGCATCCAGCAAGAAAGCAGCCCAGACGCTGGTAAAGCTTGGACAGCAGACTGGATTAGGCCCAGCATGCTGGATGCGTTGCCAGGGAGTGCAGTAGGTTATGCCTTCCCCGTAACTTCTTGAAAGCATTATTTCCTTGACTCTTGGGCATGATGTTGAGCTTTCCAAGGCAAATCGGCCTTTGTCTAACATGTACATGGTTTGAACCTGCCCTGAGGTTCTGAATTGAAATGCGGGCTGCCTGTCCCAGAATTCAACAGCCCATATACTCCGTGGTGTCCGGGAAGTGCGAAACTTCAGACGGCGCTAGAACATGGACGGCATTTGCGCTTGCGTAATGGCATTATCTTGCAGCTCTTAAGCATTGCGCAAGTGTTTCGAGGCAACCCCGACGAGAGGTGAAAGCGTCAGCGCTCTCTGGAGTGCCCCAACGCCATACCACGCATTTGTTCTTGGTTCCGTGTGCATCGTGCTTGTGTTTGGGCTATGCTCTGACTGTGAAGTCCTTACTTTGTGCGGGGCGGTAACCTTGGACGTGCAGCGCAGTGTGGTGCACGCCAAAGCTTCGTGTGTTCTCTGTGTTTGTACTTACCCCTTGTGAGACACCAGACGCGAACGCGTGCCGCTTCGCAGTTCTGGGTAGGGCCCGAGCATTTTTTGCGTGAGTTGTCCATCGGGTGCGTTCAGAAGCAACCCAGGTCGGCTTGCGCGTTCCAACCGGCAACTGCTGTTACGCCGGACCCAGCTGCTCCATTCTTGCAGCTGGCTCAGGCAGTTGTTCCTGAGTCGGGCTAGCCTTTCTGAATGTCCTCAGTCCAAAGATGATTTACGCCTTAGAGGCATGCTGAGCATGCTTCAGTCGCGCCGGACAAGGAGGCTGGCAAGGGACTTGTCAGCGGCCGCATTGGGCTCCTTACACACCCGGCATTTTCGGTGTAGTTTTGAATCGCAAGCCGCTGATGTTGGTGTGTCGCGGACATCCGCGCGCCTTCTACAGGCGCCCTTTCATGTGCCCGGCAGCGTGCGTTCGGCAAACATCACCCCATCCCACGCAGGGGTTTGAATCCAGACCCTTGCGCGCCATGCAGAGCTACTGAAGGATAGCCTCGTTTGCGATCAGTGTGTGTAGTGGCGCTGAACATCGTAGCAGCTCGTATGTCAACCTGGTGTGTTCAGAGCCAGACGTAAGCTCTGGCATTTGGGCCTCACAGACATTTGAGAGCCAGCGAGCAGAATTCGTTGCAGGAAATTACCGAAGTGGTATTTTCAAGTTCTATTCATTTCTTGTATATATATATATATATTTGTATCTTCGTTTCTTGTAGTATTTGTGTATATACACCTAGATTTACATGGTATCAGATACTATTTGCACGACTTGTTGTGGTTTCACAGCTAGATTTCAACATAGCTACTGATATGTGTATATATGTATATATATATATGGTACCCCCCCCAAGACCCAGGTTTGGTCTGAAAACACTGGTATTTACTGTGTTTTCTGACAAAACAACCGAATCTGCCAGAACCCTCAGTTGTCAGGCTGTTTTTTCAGGTTTCAAGGAAGCTTTCTGGAAACTCTCTGGCAATTCCTCAATACAATTCAGACAAGAAACTCTCTGCAAAACTGAACAAACTGCAAAAAACTGAAAAAACTGAAAAAAAACATGAAAAAATGAAAAACACTGAAAACAACTGAAAAAACTGAAAAACCAAGGATTCTGAGGGACATGACCCCCCCCAGCCATGTCCATCGGAATCCTTGGTTTTTTAGTTTTTTCAGTTTTTTCAGTTTTTTTTCAGTTTTTTTCAGTTTTTGTCTGTATTTTCAGTTTTTTCAGTTTTCCTTGGCATCTGAGCAGAACCGAGCCCATATTTGAAGCTGTCTGGCTCCAGCGCTTCCTTACTCCTCTTCTGCCCTTTGTTCTGACCCTGTCCTAGCATGGCCAAGGAGCCTGAGGATATGACCTTTGATGACCTCAAGAACGCATGCGACGCTTTCGTATTTTCTGAGTATTTTTCTTGTATTGCCTGGTGACTTGTCCAGACAAATTGAGCCTCATATTTCCTCAGCATTCTCCTAGCATTCTCCTAGTATGCTCCTTTAGTATTCCCCCAGTCTTCCTTGAGTATTTCCCTAGTATTGCCCTAGTCTTCCTTTAGTATTCTCTTGGTATGCCCCGAGTATTTCCTAGTAAGGGAAGGGAAATACTAGGGGAATACCTTCAGTATTGCCCTAGTATTCCTTAAATATTCCCTTGGTATACCCCTAATATTCTCTCAGAATTCCCCTAGAATTCTCCCTGTGTTCACCTTTAATATTGCCCTAGTCTTTCTTGAGTATTTCCCTAGTATTGCCCTGGTATTCCTTTAGTATTCTCTTGGTGTGCCCCCGAGTATTTCCTAGTAAGGCAAGGGAAATACTAGGGGAATATCTTCAGTATTGCCCTAGTATTCCTTAAATATTCTCTTGGTGTACCCCTAATATTCTCTCAGAATTCCCCTAGTATTCTCCATGTGTTCACCTTTAATATTGCCCTAGTCTTTCTTGAGTATTTCCCTAGTATTGCCCTGGTATTCCTTTAGTATTCTCTTGGTGTGCCCCCAAGTATTTCCTAGTAAGGCAAGGGTAATACTAGGGGAATGCCTTCAGTATTGCCCTAGTATTCCTTAAATATTCTCTTGGTATACCCCTAGTAGTCTCTCAGCATTTCCATAGTACTCTCCTAGTGTTCACCTTTAATATTGCCCTTGTATTCCCGGAGTATTTCCTTAGTACTTCCCCATGATTGCCCTAGTATTCCCATATTATTGCACTAGTATTCAGTTAATTTAGTAGTCTCTACCCCTAGTAATTCCTCACTACCCCATAGTATTCCCTTGCTATTTCCCCTAGTAAAGGGATGGAATTACTAGGGGAATACCTTGAGTATTGCCCTGGTATTCCTTACGTATTCTGTTGGTATACCCCTAGTTTTCTCTCAGTATTCTCCTAGAATTCTTCCGGTATTCACC